TTTTTGAAATTTATTTTAAAAGGGGAAAGACAAAAAAGGAATGTGGAAGAATGATGTGACCAATAATGAAAATAACTGCTGAAAGACAAGGGCAGACAGATGTGGGACCCAAGCAGGGAGGAGCCCAGAACCATGCTGGGTCTCAGAGCAAGTCAACAACCTTGTTCCTCTAAGTTTAGTTTTATCGGAGGTGCTGAGGGCAAAGAGCTAATATCAAAACCCCAACGGAAGAGCTGGCTTCCCTGCTTGTGGCCCAATCACCCTCTTGGATGGCGAGAGCTGAAGCTCAGACTAACATTTAGTCATGCGCGTGTAGTCACCGTGCTCACAAAGCTTTGTATGAATCCTGAAAATGTCTCCAGAAAAGGATGATCGCGCCTGTGGCGGTTTGCAGTTGAGGGATTTTCCATTTTCCCCATGCTGCATAAACAATGACAGAACGCTCACTTCCTGTCCCCGCACGTGGTCCCTATTCATCTACATTTGGGATCCAACATGATGGCTCAATTGGTCAACGATCCTCTTGCATGTACCAGGATCCCAGATGGGCGCCAGTTCTAACCCTGGCAGTCCTGCTTCCCACCCAGCTCCCTGCTTGTGACCTGGGGAATCAGTTGAGGATGGCCCAAAGTTTTGGGACCCTGCACCTGCATGGGAGACCAGGAAGAAACTCCAGTCTCCTGGCTTCAGATTGGCTCAGCTCCAGCTGTTGCAGCCACTTGGGCGAGTGAACCAGCTGATGGAAAATCTTGCTGTCTCTCCTCTCTGTAACTCTGCCTTTCCAATAAAAATAAATAAGTAAAATCTCCAACAATATTGTTTTCTAAAAACTGGCTACAACCTATATAAGAAAAATACTACCATAAATTGCCTTTACCAAAATTATAGTTTCAATTTCCAAAGACTGAAAAAGGAAGGACACATGGGGGAGATCCATACCCTGCATGTGACACAGGGCTCGTGCCAGGAATACCAGAGTCCCTACAACACAACCAGACGAGCCCATCGTGCCACACGGGCAAAGGATTCCAGCAATGACCCAAGCAAAATCCACACAGCACAGACAGCAAGCCCAGCAAGATGCTCAAGGACCGGGGAGGTGGACACCCCGCGAGCCCGGGCAGCTCAGCTCTCGCTGCTCAGGTCGCTCCAGGCGCAGACACGGCTGGAGTTAAGGACACTTGCTGACCTCTGCCCCAGCCACACTGCCACTCTGCATTTCCCTGGGAAGATAAAGCGAGTGTCCAAGACAGACTCCCACACAGTGCCCAAGCGCCTTTCTTCCGAGTAGCCTCACACCGAGATGAGCAGCTGCCACCGGATGGATGACTCAACCACAGAAGAGCCACTCAGCGACACGCACACAGCAACAGAGTGACCCTTTGTCCCTTGTAACAGAATAATGTGCTGCATGAGGTAAAGGGAAAAACGCTGTAACATTCTACTGGGGGACAGCATTGTGGCGTGCCAGTTCACGGGGTGCCCAGCTGCTCCACTTCCGATCCAACTCCCTGCTCAAGTGTCTGGGAAATCAAAGCAAGATGGTCCAAGTGCCAGCGCCCTTGTACACATGTGGAAGACCTGGATGAAACTCTTGCTTTTGTGGCCATTTGGACAGTAAACCAGCAGATGGAAGATCTGTCTTTCCTACTCTCAATCTTTTAACAAAAACATTCCATTTATGTAAAATTTCAGACTGTGAGCCAAACTGCCTTGACAGAGGCAATGTATGGCTGCCTGAGAACAGAGAGGTGACATTAGGGACCCTCAGGTGGAGTGGACCTTGGATGCCCACAGACCGATGTATGGACACTCCACTACGTGTCGATTCTACCTCACACACCCACACACCCAGAAGTCACTCCAGCACAATCAAAGGCCAGCCCCATCTCCAATGCGAGGGACCAGCCCGAGAGTTGCAGACTAAGATCACAGGCCCAAGACAGGACAGTTCCCCTGTCTGAGCAGACAGAGTTCAGAGGGAAGCTGAACCCAAGGAAGACCCTGGTCACTCCCACTCCTCACCCACCAGCCTTGGCTGCCTAGGAGCCTCACCCCACCAGGAGCCAGCAGTGTGCCAGGCAAGCCCTCCTCAGACACTCCCACCAGGCAGGCTCACATCTCCAGTCTTAACCAGTGTTGATGTTGGGACAAGGGTCTGCCTCACCTGGGACACAGTTGTGCTGGGCACAGGCTGACGGACAAGGCTGCATGGGGCAAGGGAGGAGCACTATGAGGGTGAGGCTCCCCCTGCTGGGCACACATGAAATAGCCACCTGCTGGACCTGGACTTAACAAGCCCAGCATTTTGGGTGCAGGCTGGAATGTGTGGCAACCCCAACTGCAGAGGTCTAAGTATTCAGCTGGGCTCCAACCACTGCACCATCTGATCCTTCCCAGGGTGCATATTAGGAATCCAGAATTGGAGGAACAGGGATTTGAACCCAGGCACTCCAACTCGGGATGTGGTGTCCTTGCCACTTTGCCCAGCACCCACCCTGAGCTCCTATATGGGCACCGGTTCTAACCCCAGCAGCTCCACTTCCAATCCAGCTCCCTGCCTGTGGCCTGGGAAAGGCAGTCACAGACAGCCCAAAATCTCGGGTTCCTGCACCCACATGGGAAATCTGGAGGAAATTCCAGGTTCCTGGCTTCGGATTGGTACAGCAGCAACCATTGTGGTTACCTGGGCAGTGAATCATCAGAGATCTTCCTCTCTCTCCTCCTCTCTGTATATCTGACTTTCCAATAAATCTTTACAAAAAACTGAGCCAGAGCCAACACCAACACCTTTACCAGACATGCACTGACCACCGGTACTTGGACTGCACCTGCCCTGAACTCCCGCAGTGTCTCCCACATGACCCTGTCTGTGCCCAACAGTCCACCAACGTTGTCTACGGAACTGTCTGCTAGGTTACTCCAGGAACTGCACGAGGCTGTCAGCCCACTAGTCCACTAGACTTTCAGCCTAGATCAGCATGTTACACACCCATTCACACTGCAAGGCCTCCTGCAAAAGGAAAGCTGTTCAGAGCCAGGGCAAGAAACCTGAAGGACAGGTGGCAGTGCAGACTCTGCCCAGGGTCACGGCCAGATGCCCTAGACCCACCCACACCTGCTCTCCACTCCAGCAAAGGTAAGCTCCGCCAGCAGGGATTCCTCAGGGCCACCACCCATCCCCCAAGTCTGAGCAGGCACTCAGCAGAGCACAGCTATGACCGCAGTGGACAGGCTTGGTGCAGGTGAGCAAAGGCCACTTCTGAAGATCCAAACCACAGATCCACGCGATTGGCTGGACGGCAGGAAGCCCCTTGGCCCAGCTGTGCAGCCCTGAGGGCATGTGCCAATGCTCTGGGGCATCACCTGTCAGCTGCACCCATGTCCCCTGCACACCTCAAGCCAAGAGGCATGAGGAAGTCTCAACCCCAGAACTTATGAAAACAAATGGACTCAGAAGCTTTGGCAAAAAAAACCTTTACTTCTGGAATCCAAGGGAAAATCCCACCGACAAGGAAGCAAGATGAGTTTGTCTCTGAACACTGTGCAGGGTCCGTTTCAAAGACTTGCAAATGCGTTCACTGAAGGCCATGTGCCTCAGACATGAGGTACACACCCAGCCAAAGGCAGGTGCAAGTTCAGAATTTAATCCCGACTTGCCCTGCAGGCTGCAGCAGACTCAGGGTCACAGTGAGGTTCCTGACTTAAGATTTATTTGCTTTAGGCAACAATAACTTAAAGACCAGAAGGGCTCCATATTACATGAATGCTTAAAAATTGATTTGCATAAATACAAATGGTGAAAACCTAACAATGCACAAACCAAGTAGCCACAATGGCGCTGGGAGAACAAGGCCGCACAGCTCACCTAACACCCTCCAGGAACGCTTCAGCCTCCCAAACCTCCCTTCCCCAGACACGAGGCTAAGCTAAGCCAAACTAGCTATTATCTGTATTTATACTCTTTCCATGGAACATGTATGCAGAGCCCATATTTTCCATTCAAGTTTTAGAATCTAGCAGGTACCATTCAGACTTGGTCAAATATTACTTTGAGAAATTTCTTACTTCCAGATAGCATAGTGATTTTCAAAGCATGAACCATAGGTAACACCTGAAGACATCTCTACCATTCTAACCCGAGTATGAATGGGCCAGACCACAGTACCTACTTATGCACACAGAACCAAAACAGCACTCGGGAGCCATGGCAGTCCAGGCTTCTCACGGAGTAGGATGAGCCAGCAAGGACTCCTGGGAAATCCACCATGCTATCTTAGAACTTCACACAGCAGGCTGGGAAGGGCCCATTCAACCTGGGTCACTGGCAGCCCTCCCACCCACCCCAACATCACCCCTCAGCTCCTAAGGCTTGAAGTTACAAGCACCTGGCCTTGAGACTGCCCTGGACACCTCAGGCCACAACACTACCTCAGCTGAACCAGGAGCCGTGGCAACAAAATCAGAACCACCTTCTCTACAACATCGAACTAGGAGTGTACAGGGCTACCTTGCAGTTGATCAAACAATTCATTGAAGAAAGTAAGGGTTACAAATCACATCATTCAGGCAAGTTCCACTGATTCTAGTCAATAATTTCTGAATTGACTCCCAATGGTGGTAAACACAAGGTTCTTCGCAGAAACCAAATGAATGTATGTAAAGTGCTAATTATATACAAACTAGTTATGTAAACCCTAAACTCTGCTCCGCAAGCGGTGAGGCTGACATCTGGCAATGCCCGTCCCCCTGGGCTCGCCTTGTCAGTGCCAGGGTGAGGTCGCAGGCAGGCGGCAGGACTGTGCCCAAAGTCGACCACAGCCAAGCCCTGTCCCAAGCGTCTAGTGACAAACAGCCCACTGAGATGGCCACACAAGCTTAAGATGCCATACACCAACACTTGGGACAATTCATGGGGTAGTTCGGCGATACTTCCAGCTCATCTTTTTTTTTTTTTTAGATGGATGGGTAAAGAAATCAGCCAGCGTTCCTCTTCACAGTTCATCTAGAAGTCGGCGTCCAAGGTGAAGGAGTTCTCAGACGGACTTGACATCACCCCCATCCTCTGGTACTCGCCTACCCGCTTTTCAAAGAAGTTCGTCTTCCCTTCCAGTGAGATATTCTCCATGAAGTCAAAGGGATTCTCTACTCTGAAAATCTAAGCAGGGGAACAAAAAGATTAGCATGATGTCTCCGACAAGAGAAGCCCCGTGCAGGGCGTGGGGCCGCCGCAGCTCTCACCTTGCTAAAGCCGAGCTCCAGCAGCAGCCTGTCCGCCACAAACTCGATGTACTGCTTCATCAGAGTGCAGTTCATGCCAATGAGCTTGACGGGCAGAGCCTCTGTGAGGAACTCCTAGGGACGGGGACAGGCTTGAATGACAGTGCCAGCCCTGGGGTGCCCTCAGCGGGGAGCCCCAGCACACAGCACTCACCTGCTCGATCCGCACGGCATTGACAATGATCTCCTTCACCCTCTGCTCGGACGGCTTGTGCAGCAGGTGCTTGAACATGAGGCAGGCGAAGTCGCAGTGCAGACCCTGGAGGGGAAGGCGCGGGATCACCAAGGTGGAACATGAGCCTCTCGCCCTCTGTCCTCAGAGCTCAGGCTGTCCGAGATTTCACTGCTCTGCCTGCTCCTACAACTGAGACGGGCTCGCCCTTGGCACGGCCACCTGCACAGGGCCAGGCCTGTTCCTTGCTGCCTCGCTTAGCCACACACTCTAACCATGTCAGACAGAAAAAAAAATGGGACCAGCCTAGTTCATGCTTCAATGAGCTGGAAATCAATGTGATTTCAAGTAAGTAGTTCTATACATCTTGGCGCATCAAAGCCCCAAAGCTTCACTTTGGTCTTTCCAGACAGGGGAAGCCTGCCCCGAAGGCAGACCACCCCATGCAGGATCCCAACACGGGGCACCTCACTCGCTGTCCTTCAAACGTGACTTAAAGTGGAAAATCCAGATGCTTTCTCCCACCTTGCTCCGAGGTGTCACCAAGGTGCATCCAAGGACACACAGGGACCTCAACAGCCCTCACTCCATCAGGATGCTTATCGACACCTCAATGCCAGGAAGACTGCATACCACCAGCAAAATACAGCAGCCTCACAAACTCGCAGCAAGCACCTGTACCTTGGACACTTAGACTAGACAGCAATGCACACGCGTGCATCATGGAGAACACACTTCAGCAACCTGGAAATTACATATGCAGTAGATACGGGAGGGCCGGTGTTGTGGCAATACATGCTAAGCTGACACTGCATCAAGTTCTAGTTGCTCCAGCTCCCTGCTAATGCAGACTGGGAAAGCGGACGGCTCAAGTTCTGGGGTACCTGCTCTCACAAGGGGAGACCCAGGCACCTGGTTTCAACCTGGCCCAGCCCACGCTGCTATACCCATTTAGGAGTTAACCAGCAGATCACTCTCTGAACTACCAAGCCCTTCACTTACATGCAGACGTGCAGCCCCCTTCGTGTACCCCAAGAGCCGCAGGTGTCTAATTAGAGCGCGGCCTGCTCACCTCGTCCCTGCTAATCAGTTCATTGGAGAATGTGAGCCCAGGCATCAAGCCTCGCTTCTTGAGCCAGAAGATGGACGCAAAGGAGCCGGAAAAGAAAATGCCTTCCACCGCAGCGAAGGCTACAACCCGTTCTCCTGCGGGCGGCAGAGAAGGAGGAAGAGTTGGTGCACTTCAGCAGGCCAGGGTACCCAGCAGCACCCCCTCGATAACACTGCCTGGAAAGTCGGAGCTCCAGGCTCAAAGGCCCCCGGCATGCTTACCATAGGTCGCCTCTTTGTCCCCAATCCAGCGCAAGGCCCAGTCAGCCTTCTTCTTGACACAAGGCATCGTCTCAATGGCATTAAAGAGGAACTCCCTGGAAGGCATCAGAGCGTTAGGAACCCGAGTGGAAGCCTCCAAGCCCAACCTCTAGAAAGGCACTGTACAAAAGCCAAGTTGCAGTGTTGTACTTGGATCAGACTTGTACTGGCTAGCTTCCCCCTTATGTTACTTATCCCTCCCTGCCTCCATCAGAGTACATATTATTTGAAAGGCAGAGGAGAGATCTCCCACCAGCTGGCTCACTTCCCACAAGACTACACCCGCCAGGGCTGGGCCACTCAGAAGCCAGGAGTGTGGCAGCTCCTGCAGGGTCGCCCATCACAGGTCGTTTTTCCGCAGCTTTCCCAGGCACATTAACAGGAGCTGGATCAGAAGTGCAGCAACCAGAACTGGAGCCATGACACTGCCAACACCTACAGGTCAAGGCTTAACCTGTCATGACACAGCATCAGTCCCACCAATATCACTTTCAAAATCTCAGTAGTAGTCAAAGCCAGCATTGTGGCACAATGAGAATGTCTGCAATGGCAGCATCGCATACTGGTGCCACTCCCAATCCTAGTGCTTCAGTCTCGATCCAGCACCCTGCTAATGTCCTTGAGAAAGCAGAGAAGTTTGGTGCCCATGCCTACACAGGAAGCTCCTGGCTTTCCAGCTGGCTCAGACATGGCGTTATGGACACCTGAGAGTGAATCAGCAGAGGAAGACGTCTTTGTCTCTCTCTGTAACTCTGCTTTTCAAATAAAACACATCTTTTATTTTGGGCCTGGCATGGTAGCCTAGCAGCTAAAGTCCTTGCCTTGCACATAATGGATCCCATATGGTGCCAGATTGTAAACTGGTTGCTCTACTTCCAGCTCCCTGCTTCTGGCCTGGGAAAGCAGTGGAGGACAGCCCTAAGTCTGGGGACTCTGCACCCCTGTGGGAGACCCAGAAGAAGTTCCTGGCTCCTGGTTCAGCTCAGCTCAGCTCTGATCGTTGCAGTCACCTAAAGAGTGAACTTGCAGATGGAAGGTCTTCCTATCTTTCCTTTTCTGTATAAAGTCTGACTTTCCAATAAAATAAATAATAAGTCTTTTTAAAAATCCCACCATTGGCCTGACTTCTCAATTAGCACAAGTTTAGGTATTCTTCAGTTTCTATTGTACTCCAAGGACTGTCAACACAGCTTAGTGCACTACACACCAATTGGCTTAATTTAAGTCAGATCTGCCCCCAGGCCCTACACCATGCCTGGTTCTTTTACTTTGCTTTCCCAGGCCACAAGCAGGGAGCTGGATGGGAAGTGGAGCAGCCAGGACTAGAACCAGTGCCCATATGGGATCCTGGTGCATTTAAGGCGAGGACCTTAACCATTACCCTATCATGCCAGGCCCCTTGCTTGGTCCTTTTGAAGAGCCAAGTCTCAGCAGCTGTGCAGACCACCAGCCCCCACAGGCCAAACGACCTCCGCCTTCCCAAGGCCGTCCCAGGGCACCCTCACTGACCCCTTACACAGGAAGCCAGCACAGTAAGCCCTCTGTTCCTGCAGGTGGGGCGATCACTAACATGGTCTTCCCCACTACCTGACTCTCCTCTAGCCCGACGCCCACCTGTGGAGCCTTCCAACTGGCCCACCCCGTTGACCTTGTCTGCTGACCAGTCAAGGCAGCTCACCGCAGTGTAGGCTTGGCCCTTGCTGCTGTTAACCAGCGCTGCCAAAGCTTTGCCAGAGGCACCCCACCCCGGCTCACTGCAGTACCCCATGTCCTGGCACCCTCCCCAAGCTGCCAAAGCTTTACCAGAGGTACCCCATCTTCTGGCACCCTCCCAGAAGGGATCACTAGATGGTTACTGACCACCTACCACTCAATACTCACCGTTCCTTGGGGTCCTTAATGTAAGTGTCGATAAGCAGGCTGTACATTTCCGAATGTATGTTTTCCATGGCAATTTGGAAGCCGTAGAAGCAGCGGGCTTCGGTGATCTGAACTTCTTGGCTAAAGCGCTCCACCTAGCGGCGAGACGGCGCTCAGCCCCAGCCCGGCCGGGCGGCCCGCACCTCGGCCCGTCCCCCCAGGCCAGGCAGGGCCCAGCTCGGACAGCCACGAGGGCTCAGCCCCTGCAGCTAGCACGCCCCTCAGAACCCCAGGGAGACCCTAAGGTTACCGGAAGTAACTGCAAGGTGTCCTAGCGCACACATCCAATCCATAAAAAACTTCAACGGGGAAAAAGAACTAGTTCCACCAGGAACTCTAGAAATAAGTTTAAGGATTTGGGGGAACTCACCAAGTTTTCGTTTACTATGCCGTCGCTGGCGGCGAAGAAAGCCAAGACGTGCGAGATGAAGTACCGCTCCTCGTCCTTCAGGGCCTCCCAGTGCTGAATGTCCTTGGACAAATCCACCTGCACGGCCCGGGGTGGGGAGGGAGCGTCAGCAGAGGGGCTCCGAGGGGCCAGCCCTGCCCCAGCCAGCCAACCGCCTCCGCGGGCAGCGGTACCCACCTCCTCGGCCGTCCAGAAGGACGCCTCGGCTTTCTTGTACATCTGCCAGATGTCGTGGTACTCGATGGGGAAGATGACGAAGCGCCGGGGGTTCTCCCGCAGCAGCGGCTCGTCCTCCACGCCGGCCGCGGCAGCTGCCGACTTCTGCCGGGAAGGGGGGGGAAGGACAGCCAAGTGAGGTCCGCGCCACTCGCCCAGCGCCATCACGCTGCGTGCCCGGGCATGCCCGCGCGGTCCAGAGGGCACCGTACAGGGAGGGGGCGATCGGGCCGCCGCGGGGTGCGGGGGTGCGCGGCCCGCCTGGGCGGGAAGGCGGGAGGGGTCAGCTGGAGACAAAGCGGCTTTGGCGCCAAGGGCGGGCTCCCCCTGCGGGCAGCGCGGCGGCCGCGCACCTGCCGCCCGGCCGGCCACTCACCGGCTCCGCGGGCTCCTGGAAGATCCTCCGGGCCGTCTTGCTGGCCAGCACGCGGGTCCCGCTGAGGGACGGGGGCTGCGGGGACACGCGCGTCAGTCCCGGGGAAGCGGCGGCGGGCCTCCCCCACCCTCCCGCGGCCCCGGCGCTCACCGTGTTCTCCTTGTCGGCCAGGCTGAGCCCCTTGAGCGGCGACAGCTGCAGCTGCTGCTGGTCGGCGAGGGTGGCGAGCGGGACGCGGACGGAGAGCATGGCGGCGGTGGCGGCGTGCACGGAGCCGAAGGAGCGGGAGAGCAGACAAGCAGCCGGGGCCGGGGCAGCAGCGAGTCGGGAGGAGCCCCCGGCCCGCGACTTTTAAAGCAGCGCGCGTCGGTCGGGGCGGGGCCCCGCGTCCGGCTCTTCCCATTGGGCGCGCGGGCCGCGGCAGCGCGCGGGAGATTCAAGCGCAGCGCGGGAGTCCCGGCGCGCACCCTGCGGGCCGCCCCCCGCGCCCCAGCCCCGCACGCCCTGCCGCCAGCCCCGGCCGGGAAGGGCGCGCAGCCTCCGGGCGGCTCGTGGCCTTGGCTCATCCCGACCCTTTCGGGAGGGCGAGGGGCGCCCCAGCTCCCCGAAAACGGCCTGCTGCGGGCTGCAAAGCTCTCCCGGCCAGAGGGAAAGCGGGCCAGCCGCCATCGGGACTCCTGTGTGCTGTGGGGGTGCCAGGCCCCAAGATCTGTCCTGTGTGCGGGAGACGGCCCCGAGGGCACACACACACACACCCCTATTTGCGAGGCGCGGGGGCTGAGTCCCCCGGTCGCTGGGAATGACTGAAATTTTAAGATTCGGCGTCCCTGCGAGTGACATGGGGCTTTGTGACTTGTGGGGTGATGGGTTAAAGCGAGCGGACCTCTGATGAGGCCACTGGCGGATAATGTGTGGGCTTTTTTAAGTCTCAAGCCGTCGCAGCGGTGGTCTGGCCAACTGTCCCCGGGGTCGACCCTGGTCAATAAATGCTGCGAGGGAACACTTCCGGGAAGGAAGGTTCGGGAACCGAGGACGTGACGGGAGAACCGGCAGTTCCCTGGCTGCTGGCAGGCCCAAGCGGCCCGGGGCGGGGTGGGGGCTGGCGGGAAGCCTCTCCCGGCCCTTCCCCCACCCGCCTTTCTGCTTCGCCGCAGACGCTGGGGCCTGGCAAATGGCGGCAATGAATGAGGACCAACACAGCACCCAGATGCCGGGAAAGCTGCAGTGCCCGAGTTACAGAGAAACGGGGCGTTCGGGAACCCACGGACCCCAGGATCGGGTGCTGGGCAACTTTGGGATGGTCAACACCCGCGCGCCATTTCTGAGAGGGAGCCCCACGGGCCTGGGTACAAAGTTCCCTCCAAGCTAAGGTCAGGGACCTTCTCACCCCTCAGGACAGGGGCCGCACCCCCACCCCCAGAGCGGGGCTGACAGGCTCCGGGGACAGCGGCCCAGGCCCTCCCCCACGAGGCCTTGTCCCTGCGAGCCCACGACTCAAGGGACCCCTCTCCGCCCTGGGAAGCTTGGGGCATGTAGGCAGGAGACGCCCTTTGGTCTCCACGCACCCCTCCCCGGCCCCAGGGCGCTGAGGGGCTCAGGCCGCGAAGGAGGAAGCGGCCAGCACACAAACTCGGTGGCCCAGCCCAAGCCCCGGGGGCACCGGGCGGGGGTCGCGGGGGCGGGATCGGGATTGCTCTCCCGGACTGACTTCCGCCCCGAGTTTCGCTCTTCAACCTTCGCGCCAGTTTTGACGTCTTCAACCCGATTGGCCCGCGGGCGGGCAGGCTCCGCCTCCCGACTCCGGAAAGCTCCTGGGCGTTCCCCACACACTGCGCGCCACGCCCACTTCCGCCGGTCCGTGGTCTGCACCGAGCTGAGACGTGTGGGCATCTACTGCGCCTGCGCGCGTCAGGCTCTGAGGCAAGCGGGCGGACTTTCCCCCAAAAGGCGCAGCGCTCGGTGTTGAGCTGACACGGCACTGTGAGCCGACCCTACAAAGGCCGCAGCTGCTGGACACGCTTGAGCGCGGACGGCCTGAGGTGCCAGTCCCTCGTTAGCCCTTGGTGATTAGTAGCGCCTCTACTTTTTTCCCCGTGAAACCCGCTTTTCAGTAGTCCAGCCGATCAATGCCTCCGGTTTGTCCTACCATTTATTTAATTTTATTTTCCTAACCCCATGTTGACTGTAAGGTGGAAGTTGGGTCTGAAGTTAATACATTTAGGTGAGTTTTGGTAACCAGCCAGTGCCTCACACCCAGTCCAGGCTGGGTGACAGGAGGCGGGCCTCTCGGAGGGTCCCCGGGGTGAAGCACCCACATGTCCTGGACACAGGCGGCTTTGCTGGAGGCCCACTTGGGGAAGGCCCCTCCCTGCTAATGGCCAGCAAAGTGACGTGCGTGGGTCATTTCCACACAAATCTTCCAGCCCTGCTCAAGCCTTCGGATGGCCACAGCAGTGTCAGGAGACAGTATAGCCCAGACCCACCCAGACAGAACTCCCCAGAAACCCTGATCCCCAGAAACTGTAAAACATGTACTTTTTTGGGGGAAAGATATATTTATTTTTATTACAAAGTCAGATATACAGAGAGGAAGATCCGTTCGATGATTCACTCCCCAAGTGAGCGCAACGGCTGGTGCTGTGCCGATCCAAAGCCAGGAGCCAGGAACCTCCTCCAGGTCTCCCACACGGTTGGAGGGTCCCAAAACATCAGGTCTATGGGTGCCGGTTCTAATCCCGGCAGCCCTGCTTCCTTTCCAGCTCCCTGCCTGTGGCCCGGGAAAGCAGTTGAGGACAGCCCAAGGCTATGGGACCCTGCACCCGTGTGGGAGACCCAGAAGAGGCTCCTGGCTTCGGATCGGCATAGTATCGGCCGTTGCGCTCACTTGGGGAGTGAATCATCGGACAGAAGATCTTCCTCTCTGTCTCTCCTCTCTGTATATCTGCCTTGCCAATAAAAATAAAATCTTTAAAAAAAAAAAAACAAAACATCAGGTCATCTTCAACTGCTTTCCCAGGCCACAAGCAGGGAGCTGGATGGGAAGTGGAGCCACCACCGCTGAGATTAGAACCAGCGCCCGTATGGGATCCTGGCGCGTTCAAAGGTGAGGACTTTAACCACTAGGCCAACATGTACTTTTTTTTTAAATTGTGGCAAATACATGTCAGGTTGAGTTCCCCTTTTCACTGTTTTTAGGTGCGTCAAACCCACGTACCTTGTTGCACAGCTGTCACCCAGCACTCTGCACCCCCAGAGCTGCAGTGCTGCTCCCCTCCCACCAGCCCTCAGAGTGTGCATACATGCCAGGGTTGCCAGGATCCTCCACACTGGCACAGGGTGGGGTTCTCTTCCGATTCAGCACTCCTGATACCCACCGTGCAAACTGCTCATGTGTGCTTCCGGTTTTCCTTTCCGCCCTTCCGGTGGTTTCTTCCCAGCTGCCAAAGCCCAGGAGGCGAGGCCAGGCCTCTTGGGATCCCTGGAGGGCCATGATTTTTCAGGCCCAAATTCAGGCCCAAATTCACCACTGTTCCTCCTAACCAAGCCCAGCTTCCTGTTGCCTTATTACTGAACGGCTTTTTCCTTAACAGCCACCTTTCCTACAAAGGAAGTTCACACAGACTCACCTTTTCTATGTTTGTTTTAAGATTTATTTTTATTGGAAAGAGAGAGAAAAAGCTCTTCCATCCACTCCCCAAATGGCAACAACACCAGAGCTGAGCCAATCCAAAGGCAGGAGTCAGGAGCTTCTTCCAGGTTTCTCACGTGGGTTCAGGGTCTCCGAGGACTTGGGCCAACACAGACCGTAAGCAGAGAGCTGGATTAGAAAGTGGAACAACCTGGTGCCCATATGGGATGCTGGCACTCACAGGCAGAGAATTAACTAGTTGAGCCATCACATCAGGCCAAAGGCACAGTATCAGAGAAAGGTATCTTCCATCTGCTGGTTCACTCCCTAAATGACCACAGTTAGGGTTAGGCCAGGCCTGAAGCTGGGAGCCTGGCACTCCATCCAGATCTTTGTTTTTTAAGAGAACACCAGGCTGAGCGATGCCGCTCTGGCCCCTCCAAGTTGGAGCCTGCAGATTTCCAGGGGAAGGGAGTCTGTGGATGTATTGCAGTGGGAACAGCTAAGGACATATTTTACAGGGGAGGAATGACATCTGGGGCTTTTACAGACTGGGCCACTCACTTGTAGGTAAGCAAGGGAACTGAGACAGAGTAGCTTAAATGGGGCAGAAACCAGAGGGCATGTTTGGGTCAGGCCAAAGCACCTGCCTACATGGGAGACCTAGGCTGGGCTAAATAGCATCTCCTGCTGGTACACGCAAAAGCTGGGGCTGGGGGATATGCCTGGGTGGGCTAAGTTACAATATCCCCTCGCAAATGTCAGAGTAGGGGGTGGAACATGTCATGCTGGGCTGCAGCACCCACGAGAATGTGAGAGAACTGGATCTGGGGGCAGATCCTGTGGAGAACTTGTGGGCTCACTTCTGTAGGAGTATAGCACCCGCTGATTTACGCAGAGAGCTGGGGGTGGTGATAAACCCAGCAACACTAGATCACAGAGCTCACTTGACAGGAACCCACCCGACACGGGAACAAGGACTGGGAGGAGGTTAGACTGGGCCAGGCTGTAGCACCTGCCAACACATGCAAAGTCCAGGACTGAGGACAGACCGTGCCAAGTAGGGCATACGTAAGATCCAGTGCTGGAAGCAGGCCTGGGAGGGGAACTTGGGGAACTCCCCTACTAGGCTGCAGCTCCCAGTGTGGAGCACAAGAGCCAGCACTGGGGTCAGGCCAGAACAGCCAAGGCTGCAGCACTTTGTGTGGGCCGAGTCTGGGGACAGGCCAAGCTGGACCAGGCCATAGTACCCACTGGCACACATGAGAACCAGGACTGGGTGTGGGCTATGCCCAGCTAAGCCAGACTGCAACACCCACCAGGAAGAGTTGAGACTGCAGGCAGGCCATGCCAGGCTGGACTGAAGTACCTACTAGCATGCATAAGACCTGGGGCTGAGAACAAGCCTAGTAGGGAACTCAGAGGATTATCCTGCTAGGCTGAAGTTCCCACTGGTGAATGTGAGAGCGGAGCTATAGGCAGACCAGCCTGGGCAAGGCTACAGCACCCACTGGCATGTGTGTGGTCTTGGTCTGTGGGCAGCCCAAACTGGGCATCTATTAGTATTTGCAAGAGCCAGAATGGATGCAGGTTAGCCAAGCTAGGCCACAGCATCAGCTGGCAAGTGCCAGGGTTGGATGCAAGTCAGGCTAGTATAGCCCTGGCAGGCACAAGATCCAGGGCTG